CAGTGTTTCACTTTTCCGATGAACACTTTTTCATGAGTTAACTGTACAGAGCTTACACAAGCAGCATGAAGATGTGACTCAAAAGTTCTCAAAGTTAAGCTTGGCTTGAGGAACACGCAAGTCTGGAGAATCGGAGTGGTGCAGAGCTGCAGCTCTCCAACACCTGCCTCAATTTCCATAGTAGATCAAGACACATACGATGATAGTAACCATACTTCTTTTGGAAATTAAAAAACAAAAAGATGCTAAACTGTGGTACAACACAACAACTGCTTACTGTAATCCAAGTCTACGAATAAGAGATTCGCTGATGAGGCAGCTATATTTCTAAGTTTGGGGTGAGTGTCTCAAAAAAGTTTAAATATTGGTAGAGAAACAATTTGTTAAAAGAGAAAAAAAGTGATGCTTTCTTTTGCACAAAAAACTGCAACAGCTTTACAATGGCCATAAATGATGGCTAATAAATAACAGACGCAGAGTCTAAAAGGCACTTTATGGTTCAATAAAAGTGACTGACAAATATAGACTTTCTAATTAATAGGAGCATATCTCCCCACCAGGTAAAAATCAAACCGCCCCATCTTTGATTTCTGGTTGGACTGGATTACTGACTTTCTTGCTAGTTGGTCATGTGAAATTAGACTTATAATTTCTACATTTTACCAGCAGTTAATTCATTTTAAGTTTTACAAATTGTCAGCATGGTCCAAACAGTAAAACAGTAAAGCAAACCACAGCAACCTAAATTATTTTACCCAAGCTGTCTGTTGGAGGGTGGAGCTTGTGTGATGACGGAGGTTGGAGATGGCAACGTGGGGTGTAGTGAGTCATTACTCATGTGAAGGGGAAGAGAACCAGGACGCACAATAGTTGGAGTGGGAGCAGAGCTTGCCACGGGCTTTGTGTAGATCTCCTGTTAATAAATTAAGCAATGTAACTATTTTTGTGTGTCCATCATTTTTACGTGCGTGCAAGGACAGCAAATTACAACACAGCTCTCACCCTAGAGTCTCTGCTGTTTTCTGACATGCTGGACGAGGAATCAGGAGTTCCAGGAGGAGAAGAATCGACTTGTAAGGGCCCCTCATCCTCATCTTTTACTTCAGATGGTGTTTGTAAAGATGCGGCCTTGAAGACCAAAAGCAAAGATGAGAAGATGAAAGCCTTCAAATTTTATCTTGAAACCAGCACACTGCGTGATCTACAGTAACCCTGTCTTTCTCACCGGGTTTTTCGTCCTCTGATCATCTTCCTGCGTTTTGCAAAACTCTTGCTCGAAGGAGGTGGCCAGCTCATTGAACAAACCGACCTCCTCACAGTTCTTCAGAAAACGTGTGGGAGTGGGGGTTTGGTCTGCCAAAAAACAAAAAAACTGTCAGTATTAGTGGACAAAAATATCACCTTCAGACACAGACTATTATATACAATTCATCTATTCAGAGCACTGACCACCTCCTCAGCACAGATTAATTTAAAAACAGACAAATGGCGATGCCATTACCTGCAATGATAACAGAGTCTGTCCTGGCAGGACCAAATTTTAATGTCATTTCATGCTTGTGTTTGTGTACTGACAGGTGATCTTCATTTGTGAATCTCTGCAAAAGACACCACACATGACATTTAAGGAATATCAAGACAGTTTTAATCCTGATGCGAGATTAATAACGCCTGGTTTCCACTATTAAAGCAATGTTTCATCATACATTACACAGCACCTTATCAGCAGTCGTAATTGGTGAGCTAAGCTGGGTTCAGTTAATAACAAGAGAATAAAACGCAGAGATTCAGACTCCTATGGCTGTTTAGAGTTAGGGGTATGTCTTAAGAAATCATACCTGCCCACATCCTGGGGCAGTGCATACAAAGGGCCGGTCATCCGCCATCTCAGACAAATGATCTGTAAAAGAAAGCAACAAACACAGCAATGTCATCCAATTTATTAGGCGATAAACCAGCTGATGTTCAGGTTCCCAAGACATATTGCATAAGGGCACCAGATATGTTACTACCAAATGTTCTTAACCTACAGCCTACAGCATCAGCTTAAGTGTCATGGAGCTGATAAGAACTACAATCTAAATCGTCATAATTTACACGTGCCTGCTCATCTGTCACCAAAATCACAATAACATCTGGATAGGAGGGACACAGGCCGAAGACTGTGGGCCTGTTTTGAGCATTTCTTTAGACTCGGTTGGGTATAATGTTGGACTAGCGTTCAACGATGAGGCAGCAAGAGCCAAAGCACCTCACCATGCAACCTCCACTTAACAGGATCGAGTCACTGGCGTTGGCTATTAGCGCTGTCGATGTAGTCCGGCTATGTAGTTAGCTATAAGACATGGGTTACAGACTGTGGACAGGACACACAGGTTACCAATCCATTACTGGTTAGCTATGACTTAATGAGAAATGGGCCGCAAGGTAGCACATCCACATTGCTAAGCACGTGAAATACTGTTTTCCACAACCTGACATACGTGTCATTATAGCGAACATGGAAGCTAACATTGAACAAACTCATTCCAAATATCAGAAGGCGCGGCACGTCTAGCAAATAAAGCTGTTTAGTGCAAGTACAATCCCCTAGCTGAGCTCATGCTAAGTGCTAATGGAAGCTTCGTTAGCTTGCCTTAAGTTACACTAACACGTCCGCCAACTTAGTAGCTAGCATTACACGTTAGCACGCTAATGCTAAATAGTGCCCATATACCAAGCCACGACTGTATGAGCGCGGTGCATGCCTTATGAATATCCAGACACATATATATACACACATTTTTTTTCTATAAATGACGATTTACATTACATTTTACTAAAGTATGCCCTAAACTTACCCCACGTTTAGACTGCCTCTTCACTCCCCCCCTCCCAGCTCCGGACAGCGCTGCTGTGCTGCTGCTTGGCCGTTGTTGACACTCTTGACACTTCCATTATCCAAATACCGCGAGAGAACTTGGAAGAGTTATTATGTAACAGGATTTCTCTATGCGGGAGGAATCGTAGATTTTACACGAAATAAGATTGATATTATATGAATCATTACATATTCCCTGACTTTTATCTCAATGTGCCGTTATGTCAACTCTACATATATATTCCGCTGTGTTCGCGTCAACTACCAGCGAAAGCTATGAACACACCCACTGAAGACTAAGCCAAACGCGCCTACAGCAGTTACATAATGTTTATTTCCGGATGTTTACTTGGCAGATGGCATGTTGAAATCCTTGAACAGATTTTGTTTTCTGGCTTAAAACACAAAAAACCAAAACCAAATTTAAAAAATAAAACCTTTATTTTTTTGAATACATCAAGCTACTATAACTCAGCGCATAAACCAATGTACTCCGAAAAATGTCCAGCCCATTTAAAAAAAAAAAAAAAAAAAAAAAAAAA